TAATATTTCTGCTGAATAAACCTCATAACTTCATGTCTTTAGTTCTGTTTATCTTTAGAATCCAGTACTAATCTCTTGATCTATTCTTTTTAACATATAAGCATATTTACATATATTTCAATGTCAAAGAAAAAACAAACTTCACTAAAAATTAGAAAGCTGGTTACTTACAAATTGTTCTTGCAATGAGTTACTAGTATTTGAAAGTTAAGAAAACAGCCACAAAAAAGTATATACATTCTTCGTTAATAATAGAAAAATAAGTGACATAATACTGAGGTTCACTTGGAATGTCTTTATTATAACAAGTGCCATTATTTATGAGATAGATGTTTTTAACACTGACCCATTTATTCACCTCAGCACACAAAAGAAAATGTGATATAAGTAATATTATTTTATGAAATGCTAACATGGTTGTTAATTTAAAGGTAAATTATCAAAATCACATTATTACATCAGGTCTTGTGTTGAAAATCATGTTGCATTTTTCTTAGTTGTATGAGGTGTATACGTATTGAGGTTTTTTTTCTTAGTTTTGCCTGTGAATGTTCACTTTTCTGCTTGTATTTAAACACTATCATGGATTGATTGCATTTGCATTTTGGTCAAGATTCACTTAGTTGTAATCAAGTAAGTATGTTTTGAAGTTTTCTGTTTCTACTCACGGTGTCTATCTTTCTGTTTTGTTATTCAGTTGCTGCTGTTGTCTATATCTTGCTGAAATTTCCTTATAAATTGCATCAAGCAAGTATATCAAGCCTAATTAGAAGCAATTATCTTTGTAATATGTTGAGTATGTCAGTCAGCAAACATGGCAGGTATCTGTTTTAGAGTATGTCTTGTACATACTTTGACAGATTTAAAATCATTGTTAAATGACTATAAATAGCATTTTTTTATTTTAGTAGTCACATTATTTATAGAAGTTCAAATTATTTATCTTTTGATCCTGTATCCTGTGAACTTGTAAGAACTCACTTTTTTATTTTGTGAGCTTCTTGAGATTCTTTAGAATTTTATGTGTAGGCAATCTTGTCATTTTTAATATAGAAACCATTTTATTTTCCTTTTCTGATCTCTATGCATTTCATATGTGCTTCTTAGCATAGTGCCCTGACTAGAATTTAGAATTATGGTCGTTGTTGGAGAACAGTGGTAACGTTGAAATTGTTGCCTTGTATTAAAATATTCAGTATCTTATATTTTAGCTTGTAAGTTTTTTTCTTTTTATAGCTATTTATTAAGTTAAGGAAGATCACTTCTTTTTTGTATTTTATTAAAGAGTTTGTAATCATTTTATAAACGAATGTTGCATGTTGTCAAACTTTTTCTGCACTGGCTGATTTTTTTTTTCTCTAACCCATTAACATGGCATATTATTTTGATTTTTAAACACTGAACCATTTGCATGGCTGAAATCTTATTGACCATGGTAAATATGTATCTTAATTCTATTTGTAATATTTTCTTTAGAGTTTTTGCATCTTCAGTAATGATGGATTTTGGACAGTAGTTATTTTTGTACTCTTTGTGAAGTTCCGCTGCACCTGTTTAGGATCACATCAGTCAGTATTACCTAAACTTTTCATTATAGTCTAAAATTTCAACATATAACAAAGATAAAATTTCTTAAGTACTTCCACTGAAACTTAATTTTTATGCTTTATACTTTTTCATTTCATGCTTCCTCTTAACTACTCATTTTAACCCTTCCACGAAGGCAGTTTTAAAATCTTTGCCAGATGAAATTTATATCTGGCATTTCTGTGAGGGCACTAATGATTTTTTTTTCATTCAGGTTGAAAGTTTTTATTTCTTGGAAAAATGAGTGACTTTCATTTGAAATTTAGATATTTGGGATATTATTACAAGACTCTGGGCCTTATTGTAACCTTCTTTTGCTAGTTTTGTCTGTTATTGCTCTGCAAAGGGAAAAGACTATGTTGCCAGGTGGAGAGCAAAATTCCAGGTTTGCTTCTTGTCTTCATAGACATCTGAAAGAGGAATCCTCATCATTGATGAAAGAGTAGGCAAGCTCCAACTCTTTATTAGGCCACACCTGCATAGGATTGGGGTACTTTATTACTGCCTGGTGCAACAGAATTTGCCACTTGGCCTTTGTTGGCTTGGGTAAGATGCATCCATATTTCTTTGTCTTTCAGGTATTCTGCTCAAGTAAAGTATTTTATAAAAGTGTGGTTTCAGTAAACTACCCATTTCCTGTTTCTAAAAATAGAGAAAATAGACTTTAGGGAGCATTTTTCTATGTTTGTTTACATTTTTTGTTTGTAGCTTCTTCAGAACTAAGTCTGAAGTACAAAAATCCCCTTCATCATTCAGCAGGATTTAATTTCTTTCTTTCATTGGTTTATCTCATCACTGCACCTTTCAGAGTCTTCTGTTTTATATTAACCTAAAGATTTTAGTTGTACATATGAGGGAAGCAGGAAAAAAATACATTTATACCAGAAATCTGCAGTATTCCTTTTTGGCCAGAATACCGGAATTATGTTTTGCTTTTAAAGAATGCCTAAGAAGGTTCAGTGTCCTTCTTCAGATTCTCAGAGACAGCAAAGATATTTTGGAGGGCTCCACTGCTTTGTGACCAATTATGTTAAAACTGTCATGTGATACACCCTTGGAGTATATAAAGAAATTGGGGAGATGGGGACAGATGTCCAAGGCAGGCTGACTTCTCTACTTTTTGTATTTGTTGATTCTCTATTTCCTTCTTTCCTCCCATTCTCCCTTTATTTTGTAGTTAACTCTATAATATTTTTCCCATATCCTAAGTTAATTTATGCTCTCATGATTCTTTTTTTTTCCTTTCTTGTCCTCAGGTTTATTAATTACCCAGCTTAATCTAACTTCTTTCTTTTATTTCTTTTTCTTTTTTAAATTTGGTTCTGGGCATTAAACCCAGGTTTTTATTTGTGCTAAATACATGCTCTCTCAAAAGTTATCCACCAGTCTCCTTCTCATTTATTTTTAAGACAGACTTTTTTGTGAAACATTTATTTGTGTATAATATTTAGTAGCATTTATACAATTGCACTTTGTAAGTAGGGAGTGCTCATAATGATAATAAATTGCATATGGGTTTAGGGAGACCATTGAAATTGTATCAGAATAAGAAATCAGGATTCCCTCTGTAGGTCATTGATTTCAAGCTTCCTCTGCTTACTTTCAATTGAAAATATTTTGAAATTACTGGTTGTGGGTTCCAGCCTGAAATCTCTGTTGTCTGTATCTCCTAGCCATCTGGAAGGCTGAATCACGGCCTATCCTGTGACACTGGGATGTGTGTAAGTGCATATTATATAGTATAGATTATCTGCTGTAAATGCTGCTTTTTTTGCTGTCATTCATTTTAGCACAACAATTGGGAAGCTCTGCTATATGTAAGGGAAGAAGGGGTAAGCAAACTGCAGGATCTCTTAGGGAAGTCTTGCCAGTCAAACCAGAAGATAGAAAATACATTTTAGAAGAGGCAGGAAAATAATCAGTATATTTTGGTTTGGGAAGAGGAAAGACTGATAATATTGCCAAAAGTTTTACTCCATGTATTATTTGCATAATATTCAGATGACTAGAAATTAAAATTAGACCATAGTAGTTAGTGCTTGAAGTAATAATCAGTGACACTAATTTCACTAATTTAAAAACCACTACATCTTTGGTGAACATACATTAAACTTTGTTGTGAAGAGTGAACACCAAAATATGGTAGCTTGAATATACTGTGAGATGATTGTTTTGGGGAAAACCATATAGGTATACATATATGTGTGTGTGTATATATATGTATATGTATATGTGTATGTGCATATATATATGAAAGATATTATACTGAGCACTGTATTAGGTGCCTTTTATTTGTCACTGTACTAGGTCAGTGCAGGGTGTCCAAGAAAGAAACAAGTAGGTAGGAAAAGTAATACCTCCTAAAAAGAGTGGCATCTGTGGTGAAGCAGGTAAGGTAGTAGACTAAAAAAAATAACTAATAGTTATTAGGACAGAAATGAAGAAGCTGAAAGGAGTTTGCCTGCATGAAGCTCCAGATGAACAGAGATGGAACAAAGACAAACTGGAAAGGTAAGCAGATGTCATGAAGGGACATTTCAGCCTTGTGAGGATCTGGGCTCAAAATCTAAAAGGTAAAGCAAGCATATGGCATTAATGGAGCAAAAAAATCAACCTGATAAAGTGTATGCATTAGAAAATATGAATGGACTCTTGAGAAATTTTAAAGTCACAAATTAGCTATAATGTTTTTTTTTAATCAAAACGTATCCTTGCTTTGTTATAAAAATTCCATAACGTGCTGATAATGGTACAGTCCATGGATAATGATATGAAATCTTAACTACTCTAATTATCACAGAAATAGTAGTAATCATGGTTATTGATCTGACTGGGTATGAAATGTATACAATGAATACCGTTACTTTTGCTGAAATTCAAGCATGCTGATTTTAGAATCTATGTAGAAATTTAACTAAGAAAATATTGAAGTAAACAGTGTATATTTTTGTTTTCTATCTTTTATTTCCATGTATTTCTAACTTAAGCCCTTTAACTCATCTATTTCAGAAGTCACTTATTAACATTTTTCTGTCTCCAATTTCTTTGCTTCCATTATTTTAAAAGGTTAAATATATTTACTTGCAGAGGTCATATAATACTTCCTGTCAAATGACCAGAGACTATATATTAAAATATTAATAGTATAACAACATGCAATATAAATAAATCCATTTACTCTTAAGTATCTCTTAATAAGGAAAAAAGAAACCATAAGGTGAATATGTAATTTTATTGTTCAAATAAGAGGATTGCAGGTATATTTTAAGAATTAGTCAGCCTAAATTTCAACATCTGTTGACCTGCAATATTTAGTACTCCTTTGGTAGATCAGTTGTAATTAGAATGATCTTGGTATAAAGAAGAAGATTGATGAGTTGACCTTGAAAGCGAGGCAGCAGATGTATCAGCTATCATAGGCATTGGGAACCGTGGGTTGCCTCATTGGCTGAAATATCAGGATATCTAGTTGGAAAAGTAGAAGGCTCCATCATCAGTCCAAAATAATTGTTCTGTAAGGGAGATATGATGTGGTATTGAGAAGTAGATGTTGTAATGAAATTCACAACGTGGCCATTTGCTTGAGTGTAGCTGCTATGTGAGCGCATATGAAAAGTGGTCAACTGATTTAAAATAGCATGTTCATCTGTTACAATTTGCTCTGATGTTCTAACTGAAGTCGATGAAGGAGGAGAAAAATCACTTCTGATGAAGTCAGTTGTATTAGCAATTCTTTGGCTGGTAGAAGGCTCCTTTTTTAGAGGCACATTTAGATTTGTAGAGGTTGAAAATAAACTTTCTCCACTAGTTTCAGCAATTAAACCAGAATTATGATAGTCCACATTACCCCCTGCTCTAAGATGCTTCTTGTTGAGATCTGGAACTAATGAAGTAGATACTGGAGAAGCATTTTTAATCCCGACTCTTCTTTTAATTCTTACTAAAAGTTGGGGACAGCCTTGTTTAAAATTTGGATTATGATAGAACTGTAACTAAAACCAAAGGAGAAAGTTATTTAGAGACATTTTAAACCAAGTGATAATAGACAATAACCTATAAAATTACAGATTTCATTTTTAGAACATAACATTAATGTCATTATATGTCAGGATGATTGTCTTAAAATGCACTTATTGGGAACCAGACAGCAGTGAATACCATTCTCTAATAAGTGGCTTTAGCACCTGTATTTACAGTTCACTGGTAAGATTCGAAGTTACTAGCAAATATCTTAAAATCTTAGGTATTAGTGCCCTCAATAATTTGAAAATGTTAAATAATTTCAATCTTAATATTTTATACAAATTTCAAATCAGATTTTACTTTGTGTAATAAACTATATAAAAATAAAATAATATACAGTCCGTAAGTGTTAAATGAAAAAAATTTGAATACCTTGCTTAAAACAGAGACTTCTTTTTCTTCTGCCAAAAAGTCAGCTAGAGAAGCAGATCTTTGAAAATTCTGTCTCATTTTACTAAATCCATAAAGATTAAGCTGTCGAACTAAACTTTTCATACTATCAGTTTCAAATATTCTGAAAGGGGCCTTTCTTTCCAAAACTTCTTTTTTGAAAAGCTCTTCATTAATTACTATAGAAGTTCCATCCTCATCCCACCAAATAGACTTAAATTTGTCACTTTCAACTATTTTCCAAAGTTTTCTGGGAAAGGTCAGAGAAAGAAAATCATTATCTTCATCTGGTTCAGAGACACAAAATGTATAATGTGGTCTTTTTATCAAGGATCCCTGAGACAAAACCTGAAAAGCATTTTCCTCAATCAGAGTCCTTAAGTCTGAGTCCTCAGTGAATGTGTGATCACACAGTGAAGATCTGTTGGAAGTTTCGGAACCAGTTGATCCATCTTTAGGAGAAACGTCTTGAATTTCTGAAGAAACTTGTGCCATCTCAAATAATTTTTTCCTCGACTACTTTTCTCATCTGCATGGTTTTGAACACTGCAGCTTCAAATGCTGCTTCAGTAGGCCTACACAGATAAACTAAACCTAGGCCATCATAATAGTTCTCAATCTGATAGTTACGACATCACAAGATGACTTTCGTCTCCTAGCAATTTATACACAACAGTCAACCTACAGTGTTTCCCACTCTTGAAGTTTATTCCGTTAAAAAAAATCTAGACTGATTACTTACATTTTAATTTTAGATTGCTCACATTACTTACAAGGTGTGATCTTTAATTCTCATTTTCACAGAATCTTTCAAACAAGTAAGCAAATTAATCTCTTCAATCACTGAAATAAAAGTTATTTGCTTCCTTACTCTTACTAGCTTGGTGCAAAGAGGGTAGGGCTTAATAATGGGATAATACTAGAAAAAAGAGGGAAATAAAACAAGGGTTAGAAAACTGGCAGTTTGGAATTCAAATTGGTGAAAAGCCTTTACGTAAAAAAGGTAGGTCATATAGATAGAAAATAGGTTACTGGCTAGAGTAAAGAAAAAAAATATATCAATTATGGATTTTATAAAGGATAATAAAAGTGTTTAAAAATTTGTTTAAGAGTCTGGCATGGTGGCCTCTGCCATAATCCCAGCAACTTGGAAGTCTAAGACAGATTGGTTTTAGGTATGAGCTCAACTTCATCAATAAACTTAATGAGGCCTTAACTTAGCAAGACCCTCTGTCAAAACAAAAAATAAAGAAGGGCTAGGATGTTGCTTGTTGCAGTAATTCACTTGCAGGTCAGCATGGGAAAAGAAAGAAGAAGCAGAGCAAGCAAAGCAGCAGCAGAAAAAAAGTCCTTTATTGTGTACAAGCAATCTTTTTATAGTATTGTGAACAAAGAAGGCAGCCTTCCAACATCAAAGAATCAGGTCTTTTAGCTAATTAAACATAGCACACAGAAGTTTTACTTTCTAATCAGAAGTGACCCGCTTCTCATGGCTAATCTACTCTCGGCCTGGAGTATGCTGAGCTCTGCTCTTTGTTAAGAACAGATAATAAAATTTTTCTCAGCGCCCTCCTAGCCCACTTGGCAGAACATCCCGTTTGCAGGCAAGTCCTCCCAAGGACAGCAGACACCTCGTTTTCAAGCATGTCCGCTGTTACCTGTCTATACCTTGACAGAATATCTCGTTTGCAGGCAGACTCCATCAAGGACAGTAATAGTAACACAGTTACATCTGATTCTCTACAGTTGCTTAGTGACAAAGTTCCTCAATTCAATTCCCAGTACCAAAAAAAAAAAAAAAAGAAAGAAAAGAAAGGAAGGAAGGAATTTAAGTATTTTAAAGAATTGATGAATGTATAATGTGGCAGTAAACTGTATACTTTAAAATGTTTAAATTTTATATTTTACCTAAAATTTTATATTAAATTTTACCTAAAAAATGTTATTTTATTTAGGAAAAATCTTTATGTTTTGCAATATAATAGAATATCAAATAGAACTTATATTTGTGAAATAAACTGAGTACTGAATAAAAAGTCTTCCTCCAAAAATATTAATGCCCTAGTTAGAGTAAGATATTTTATTTTTATGGCTCAAAAAGGGCCATGTTTAATATATATGGAAGAACCAAGCACACAGGAGTCTGACATAGGAGGATCACAAGTTTGAAGCCAATCTGGGCAATTTGGAAAGAGCTTGTCTCAAGGTAAAAAAAAAAATGGGGTGCTGAGGTAAAGCTTGGTGGTAGAGCACTTGCTTAGCATGCACAAAGTCTTGAGTTTGATCCTTATTGCCACAAAAATTCTAAAAAGTATTGTTTTTATTTAGGAGGCCATTCATCTCGTATTGGAAAGATATATCATTATTGGAAAGTCTAAGTATAATATAGTTTTTTTAAATTTTAGAATTTTCTGTTTTAAGACATGTAGCAAAAGTATTCATATTCACCAATTTTTTATGGTGATAAAACATATTCCCATCAGATGCTGGTATGTGAATTTTGCTTTTTCAGAGCATTTCTTTAAGTTTACTGTTTGAAGATCATACAGCTTTTTCTTGAAGAAAACTTATTAAAATTTCATCAATACAGTGGCTGAAAATTTGGGGGGATTTTACAAGATAGCTTAACTAAAGCTATAACTTGATCCTATTTAAAAACCTACTGCTATTCATAAAGGTACAAGAAAAATAGCAGTTTTATCTAAAAAAACTTGAATATAATAGGTTGCCTTCTACTATGCCCTTCATCTGCTTCTATAGTTTCCATATTCTTCCCTTTTCTCTTCTGTCTTCCTTTTTTTTTCTTTCCTGTTTTTCTTATGTAGTAACTGGATGTTTAAGTTATTTATTTATATTTGGTTGCTTGATTATTTTTTGTGTTACTAGGGTTTGAACCGAGGGATACTCTACCACTGAGCTGTATTTCCAGCACTTTTTAATTTTGATATAGGGTCTTTCTACGCCCCCTAGGCCAGCTTTGACCTGTGATCCTCCTGCCTTAGTGTCCTGAGAGGCTGGGATACCATGCATGTGCTGCTTGGCTAATAGTAATTCAAAAAAAAAAAAAATCTGAAAAGTAACCTTGTCTTCTAAACATTTTGTGCTTTGTTGACAAGGAAAAAAATAAATTTATGACATATCAACCACAAATGTAGCCTACATTTCCATATTTACTTTTTTTCTTGGAGATAATGTTAATGACAGATAAGGGCATTTCATAAAGGTACTTCTTCTACTTGTGGTATAGTGTACTTTCTATCTTGTTCCTTTATATTACCTCTCTTTGTAAGTTGATTAATTCAAGTATTATATTAATGATCCATTCATTGCTAAAAAGTCTTTGAGATTTTTGCATGATCTTCAAGTAAAGTCCTCAAGTAAGACGTAGCCATCATTTTTTATTTATCTTGGAATGAGTATTTTATTTTTGTTGCGACCCCTTGCCCGCAAGGAAGACGCAACTCGGGAATCTTCTTTCAACAGTTTATTCAGGCCCTTGATATTTCTTCTTCTCTCTCTCGGATGCCCCTCCCAGCCTTAATAAAGCATCCCAAGCCCCAATGCAAAGCTGCCGCGTGGAGCTTTCTCACAGGGTGGTGAAAAACCATGCGCCAACTCTCCCAAATAAGGAGTTGTTTGTCACAGACCACAGCGGAGCCAGCGTCATCTTGTAATGGCGACCATAATCTGCAGAAACGGCAGAAGCGGCTCACCACATGTTTTTGTTTGTTTTGTTTTTGTTTTTGTTTGTTTTGTTTTGTTTTGGAGTGATAAAGAAAACAAAACATAGTATATTAACCTACCTCCTGAGTTCTCTCAGGATTTTATCAACATTTTTTTTTTCTAGTCTGATTTTCATTTTCTTGAATCCATTCATTACCTTGTGAGTAATTAATGAAAACAGATATTCTAACATTCATCCTTTTATCTAGATAAAAAGTCCATTGGATTTTTTATATTACAGAAAGAACATTCACTACTAATTTTTAGATGGATTAGAAACATCTGTTGGTCTCTTCCTTGATTGAGAAATCAAGGCAATATTGTTTTTTGGATTCTGATTTTGAAAGTTTTCATAATGTTTATGCCTGTGATAATGAAAAACAGCAGTCAAGTATTTTTTGGAGAACCACCCTTCCTTTTTTGTTTTGTTTTGTTTTTGTTGTTTTTGCTGTGGTGGGGATGAAATCCAGGGCCTTGAATATGCTAGGCAAGCCCTCTACCACTGGACTGCATTTGCAGCCCAAGTAAAGTGATGTGGTCACCTTATTCTTTTTGTCTCTATTTATGGCAGACACCACGTCCAATTTTATCTTTTTGTCCTCTTAAGCTTTATCAGGTGGATACCCAGGATTCAGGAGACAATGTCTTCACTCTTCATTTGTGTGTGTGTGTGTGTGTGTGTGTGTGTGTGTGTGTTTCTAGGGATTGAACCTAGGGCCTGTGCTTTACCAATTAAGCTATACTCCCAGCCCTCAGATCCTCTTAATCAATGAGTCTTATCAATTCTGTTTCTCTTAGAAATGATGATAATGAGAGTGGTGATAATGATATCTAATATCTTTGTACTATAAACTTCTATGAACTGTATTATTTTACTGACACACTACAGGTTTCACTAGAGGTTTTAAATATAGTAATTATTGTACAGATGTCGATATCATGGGTTTGTATAGTTTTGTTAAGTAACCTAAGAAAGTGACAGTGCCAAGATTATACCTCAGAAATTCTGGTTCCCAAATTTTTACTACCAACCAGAGAACTACTTAAGAATATCATTTGGGCTGAGGTTGTGGCTCAGTGGTAGAGTGCTCACCTAGCATGTTCGAGGACCTGGGTTCGATCCTCAGCACCACATAAAAATAAAAAAATAAAGATATTGTGTCCAACTAAAAATAAATATTAAAAAAGAACATCATTTGGTCCCTTATCATTAGAAAGATTTTTCCTTTAAAACTTAATTTGTCTTTATCAATAAAGCCACTCCACCTCTCTTTGACTAGGGTTAGCAAGACATGTTTTTCCCTCTCTTCATTATTAACCTGTATCTTTATATTTAATGTGCTTCTAGCTGGCAGAATATGATTGGACTTTGTTATCTGTACCAAGAGTACAAAAGTTGCCTTTTACTTAGGGTGTATTTAAACAGTTGTAATTAATTAAACTATAAATTAATAGAGTTTCATGTTTGTTCTTGCTGTTTTCCCCCCATTTTCTTTGTCTATTACCTTTTCAATTATTTGACTATTTTATTCCATTTTATCTTCTTTCTTGATTTATTAGCTATAACTGCTTTGTTCTTGCTTAGAAGTTATAGTGTGTGTATATAATAAATTTAAAATCTACCTTTAAGAGAGTCTTATACTTCCCCATGAAGTATAAGATGATGTTTGCTTTTCTTCTTCTCATTGTGCTGTTGTTATCATACATTTTTTAATTTCCTTTTTTTTTAAAAGAGAGAGTAAGACAGAGAGAGAGAATTTTTTAACATTTAT